TGTTTGTGGAGGTGTTGGTGGTGGTGTGTGGTGTGGAAGTGTTGGAGCGTAGTTGTGCTTGTGGAGGCGTTAGTTGTGGTGTGTGGAAGTGTTGATAGAGGTTTGGTGTGTGGTGTGTGGTTGTGTGTAATATGTGGTGGCGTGTGGTCGTGATTTCTGAAGTGATGGTGTGTGGTTACGATTTTTGGTAATTACTTCTTCTGTTAAATATTTATGTTTAGCTTTTTTTATGCTAGTAACTCAATGGTTAAGTCAAAAAAAGTCGTTCGCCAGCTATGTTAGATAAGGAGCCAAACTCATATTTTGTGACCTCTATCTTAAGGAGGTCAAATTGGGAAATAGACTCACCACCTATATTAACAAGGAATGGTGACGAAATATTATGAAAATGTTCAATGAAATGACGAGAAGGGAATAAGATATAATGAAACTAAAAAACAAATGAGATTAGTTGAAAAGGACTAGAAAATGTGGAATGAATTAAAACGAGGATCCATGGGCTTGGGTTGGGATTCAATCAAACAAACTATTGATGTTTCGAAGAAATGATGGGCTGAGAGATTAGAGGTGAGAATATATCCATGTATGATATTCTTTTCCTAAATTGTATGAACATATCCACGTCGTCTTATATTGCAGGTAGTGTTAGCTGCCAAGAAATTCAAATTCAGTGGTATGGACCCTGATCTAGAAGAAAAGCTGGACAATATGTTTGGTGGGGTTGTAGCAACAGAGACTAATTGTTGGACCCCTAATGAACAAGGGTTTGCAGACATACCTGAGAACTTGGATGCCGAGCAAGCAATTGACACCGGTGAAGGCCCAAGCCCAAACCAGAATGAAGTGTCCACATGCAGGTCAAAGTGTCCAAGGGTAGAGAAAAAGAAAAGAGGGAGCTAGTTTCATCAGAAGCCAAATATCAAAATTGGTGGCTTCATGCACCAGTGACCCTTGGACTTCACATGAGATCTCTCTCGAAGAAGTTATCCGAGTTTTTGAGAAAACTCCATAAATTTATGAGGACATGTTCTATTTGAATTCCATGAAGTTGTTGGAAGACCCGACCCGTAGACAGTTCTTCATAAAGGTGACCCTTAACCGTAAGATCAATTATTTACTTTTTTTTTTACAAAAGCAAGGACAATTGATTTTATTCAATTATATTTGCACTTTTTGTATTTAAATTCAAATAGGTTTATCGGATTTCTAATTTCAATGTTTTTTTTTCTTGGAATGGTGTTAATGCTATTTTAAATGTTTGTCTTTTCATCGTACACTTTGTAATTCGTTATTTGAAATTTATTAAAGTTGTTTGACTCACATGTATTATCTAAACGGAGAACTTGTTAAACATGGATTTACAAAGAGATAGATGCAGAAGATGAATTGTGGCAACAGTATGTTTGATGTACGAGTACAACAACTCATATGTAAATCGGTCTCCTTGCATGACATCATCTTAAATTGGTGATAAATGGGTTGAGGAGCTACTTGAAGGACACCCTAAAAGATTCAGTTACATGTTTCGTATGACACAACCCATATTTGTAGATCTTTTAGATGAATTACATAAGAATCATGGACTTCAGGCTCCTCTAAAATGACAACCAGAGAGGTGCTAGCAATAACCCTCTGCATGTTGTCACATAATGAATCAATGAGAGGAGTGATGAAGCGATTTTAACATTCATCAGAGATAATTTGCAGATATTTTTCAGTGAGG